ATTTTGTTTCAACCTACTGGATTCAAAACATGTTGTATTTTACTGGCTGGCAAGGAGCTTTATCTGATATTTTCCCTGTAAGTTTAATCAGTTTCCATTTTGCCTTCTGTTATCTCATATACCAAACATATTTGAAAATTAATCCCATCTGTCTTTAGGATATACCTGCCTGCTGAATTGTCTTAGAGGAGGGAGAAATCTTCTGGAACTTTAATTTGACATGGGAATTGGCTCAGTTGCTACTGTGTAATCTTTAGAATGACTTTTCAAACTGATGGTGTGTATCTGCGCTTTTCTTGATGCTTTACTTGTTTCCATAATTACATTGGTCGTTAAACCCTATAATTTCTTTTTACAGGAATAACATTTTCCCTTCCCTGATCCAGCTCAAATGCAGTCTGTTTGAAGAGCTTGTTTTTAAATACCTTGCATCTTAATTTTGATGGGAGGCCAAAATGCCCATTCCATCAAAACATTTTGTTTTAACCTACTGGATTCAAAACATGTTGTATTTTACTGGCTGGCAAGGAGCTTTATCTGATATTTTCGCTGTAAGTTCAATCAGTTAGCATTTTGCCTTCTGTTATCTCATATTACCAAACATATTTGAAAAATAATCCCGTCTGTCTTTAGGATATACTTGCCTGCCTGCAGCTCAGCATAGCGCAAACCTCATGAGAAAATTAATATCAGCATGTGCAACATTGTTGCTAAATATCTGTTGCAATTATCTGGGTGCTGATGCATATTATCTACTGGCTATGCAGACGCTTCTTTTTCCCTGAGTAAGCTATTTCCCCCTGTAATTTTTCCTTCCCTTACTTTTTTTGCTGTATCAAAAAAAAACCCATTAATATCTGTTATTCTCTTGTTTTAGGACTGAATTGTCTTCGGATCACCTGGTAATACCAATGAATCGAAAATTGAGTGCTTAACTAGCAGATCCTGTTGTTCAGAGTAAGGAGACATTATTAGCCAGTGACATAATGTCTGCTATATTTTCTGATTAGGAACTTGCCTTGTTAAACCTGAATGGAAAAGTGAACAAACACAAGACAGACCTTAAAAAACAAAAAGTGAATCCACAAATAGTGGAAGATATAATAAGTATGTATCCTCTTGATCTTATACTTTAATTTCTCAAGTGATATTCAGTAGATCCATTGTTCATTTTATTGTGTCCTCTTTCCAGAATATGTTAGTCAGGTGAAAAAGCTGGATTTTGATAAGCAGCCGGAGATCAAATTGAATTTATATAAGTCCATCAAAAATATGTGCAGCAATTTTGGCAAGCAAGAAATTGTGAAGAAGATAATGGCTGCAGAGCTTGAGCGACTCAAGGCAGCTGGAACCCCTCAAGTTAATGTGGATGAAGAAAATGAGTGAACTTTTTGTAGTTTCAAGTGACTCATGGTGCAGCTATTCCAATATATCTTTTAGTTTTTAATTGTGTATATAT